ACCAATCTTACTAGTGCAAAGGCATGGTTTTAGCTACATGTAGTTTGAGAAATGATAATCGCGTTTAACAATAGATTACGAGCTATAGTAAGACCCCTCCTCTTTAAGAGATGTCACAATTAACAGTACTATAATGTAAAGGCGACAAGTTATCAGATTGTCAGGCTTTTCCCTGTCGCACGCACGTTAGATTTTAGTGCGATGTTTACAAAAACTTATTTATTTTCAATGTTTTTTACCACAATAATCTTAGTGTGTTATGAGAAACGGGTTTTTTAACACAGCAAAAGAAATTTTTTTTTTTGGGGGGGGGGGGGGGGGGGGGGGAGTACAACATCAAAAGGATTTTTAAAGGAGTTGCCTAATAGGTTGCTGTGCTATTTGAACCAAAACGATTTCCTGAAAGATCAAATTAAAAATTGATGTCTCTTCCACAAAAAAGTGTATATTATACAACAATGAGTTTGCGTTTAATGTAATCCCTCCTTAAAGGCCATGTACTGATTATAATGGCATACCTTGATGCGGAACAGTCTATTGGTTCTTCCACCTTGGGTCCCTTCAATTTAAGTACCATATTGTCTTACTCGTATTACCCATTTCATTTGACACCCTCTCTGTTTCTCTACATTCCACTCTCTCTTGTTAGAAGGAGGGAAAATATAAGTACCCAAAATAATCTGCATCACCAATCTTCGGAAAAGAAATGAGTCCATGAACCAGTAGGCTGGTCCACAACGTCCGACACAGCAAAATGAAATCAAATAACAGCTGGCACAATTTTAACTGCAGTTAGCTAGTGTCACTAAAGATATAATCCGCTGCCCGCTCGAAGCAGTTGAACAAAAGGATGGTTCGTTACAGGAGACCGTTTGTTTACATAAGTACTCTAAGGGGGCGTGCCTACCCAGTCGACCAGGGATTAGGCCAGTCACTAAATTCCGCCAAAAAAAAAAAAAAAAAACGTTTAGCGACCCTATCATTTTCACACTCACTCTATTGTATTTTCTATCCCTATATTCAGCGTGTAATCTCCAAATGGTACACGGAGTAAATATACACAAACTTAATACTAGGGCTAGGGCTTAATACTAGGGCTACTAGTTCTATGAATTTCCAATAGTTAACAGTGCATTCCGATTTCAATTTTGCCTAGTGTATAAGTTGTAATAGGCCTTGACGTGCGCGTCTGGCTCCAGTTTCACAAGTGCCCTAGCTTAGTTGACTAGGATTCCCGTAACACCGTTTCTGATGGGGTAAAATGTGAGCATGTGAGCATGCAACGTTGGTTCTTAGCCAGGGAACTTGACTTCAGTTTTTTTTTTGAAACCGGGGCTTCTTAAAACACATATAGATAATGATCTTTTCGAAATGATATGCCGAAGCAAGACTGTTTTATCAAATAAATTTTATCTATTTGATGAACAAAAATTAGATGTTGTATTGCTACAAAGGTCGATGATTTGCATTAGTTTCATGCATATGCAAATATGAATGTTATCAATATTTCCAGAAAGTGACCAATTTGTATAGATTACAAATGTATATCATTCATAGTGCATTGAGCATTGGTTTATGATTAAGCAATCATTTGATGATTGGTGCAAGGTACATTTTAAGTTATCTAAAGACATGATTTTAACTTTATTCAAGCGTAAATTATACTTGGAAAATATATTGATATAATTGGACACATATTTATACGGATTTATGGTTTGCTGTTTAACTACATTTAAGCATAAATTATACTTGGAAAATATATTGATATAATTGGACGCATATTTATACGGATTTATGGTTTGTTGTTTAACTGCATTTTAGCATAAATTATACTTGGAAAATATGTTGATATAATTGGACACATATTTATACGGATTTATGGTTTGCTGTTTAACTACATTTTAGCATTAATTGGAAAATGTTTCGATAAAATTGGACATATATTTATACGGATTTATGGTTTGCTGTTTAACTACATTTTAGCATTAATTGGAAAATGTTTCGATATAACTGGACGCATATTTATACGGATTTATGGTTTGCTGTTTAACTACATTTTAGCATTAATTGGAAAATGTTTCGATATAATTGGACGCATATTTATACGGATTTATGTGTTGTTTAACTACATTTTAGCATTAATTGGAAAATGTTTCGATATAATTGGACGCATAGTTATACGGATTTATGGTTTGTTGTTCTTAAAATAAGTGATAAAGATAATTTGGCATGCTATTTTATGTATTTTGTAAGGTTCTAGAATTCAAACACTATTTTTTGTAATGCTGTAAATCAATCATGTGCTAAATGTTGTAAATTTTTCATATTGCAAGCAAAAAATAACGGTTTCGGTTTAAGTAATAGCAAATAAGCAGAGTTTGATTTTAATGGCTTTTTTTTAAAAAAAGAAATCGATAAACTAATATTTTGGATGTTTTATAGGGCAAGTATTATTTTGATAGGAATACAGGATGGAGTTTATTAATGTTAATGGAGTTAATTGATTGACTTCATGATCTAAATGTACAAATTTTAATGGCGTCAGTAACAGAAGGGATTTTGTATTATATTTGTATATCATTCATAGTACATTGAGCATTAGTTTATGATTAATAATCATTTGATGATTGGTGCAAAGTACATTTTAAGACATCTGAAAATCATGATTTTAACTACATTTTAGCATTAATTATACTTGGAAAACATTTGGATATAATCGGACGCATATTTATACGGATTTATGGTTTGCTGTTTGCTATTAATGTTGTTAATCAATAGTGTGTTAAATGTTGTAAATTTTTCAGATTGCAAGCAAAAAAAGTTTAGGTTTAAGTTATAACAAATACGCAGAATTTGATTTTAGGATTTTTAAAAAAGGATCGATAAACTTAAATTTTGGATGTTATAAAGTGCAAGAATAATTTTGTTAGCAATCAAGAATGGAATTTATTAATGTAACAAGGATCGAGTTCATTGACTGATTACACTATCTAAAGGTAGATTAATTTTCATGACGTCATTAACATCCAGAATTTTGTATTGATGGCCAGTTAATTAAATTAAAATTAATACGTCTTTATTGGGTTTGGCAATAATAAAAGCGGCCTTGACTGGCCCGATACCAATCAACCTACATTGCGTTTGTCATTTTATTTCGTTAATTGATTCTGCAGTGTAATTGGCGGGGGAGATTAATCAAACTTTAAATATTTACCCAGTCTTTAAATAGGCGTGACACAGTGCTCAGGTGATTACTTAAACTGTATTTAAATTTTATTTTTTTTGCAATATTCGACCTTATCCCACCATATAGCTTCAAATACGAAAATGCAAAACGAAAATTAATATACGAACGGATTTTCTGCTTTCACTCTGTGCTTCTGCAATCTTATTTGAACAAGGATGCGAGCGCAGCTATACCTACGTACATGTGCATCCATACAAGGGAATAAGAGTGATGATTATGCAGACCTTTATAGACTGGAGTCCAGAAAAATGGGACAATTTACGACCAAAATTTTGAAGAAGGAGCAGTTTTATTCATACATACAATTTTAACTGAACGAAAAGTTAATTTGGTTTGTGACTTGACATGTCGACTTTATTTTTATTGTAAAAGAAAGTGGTCTATATTATAATAGCAGATCAGCCGAAGTCTCCTTTCCACGTTTTTCTCCCAAACTAAAACGATCCGTTACAACTGACAGGTGTAAGCAATACCTTAGAACAGTGGAAAGATGGTGGCCGTAGTTTGAATTTGATTATAACTGTTAAAAGTCTATATTGAAGACATTTGTTGCATTTGGCAATTTCCGTAAAGCATTGGCATGTGTGACAGGTTTCTGTAAATAACAGTACTTCGGGGAACAGGATTTGGTGGCCTAGTTGTAACGTCCTTGGATGCCAAGCACGGCGGAGTGAGTGCGATTCCCATGCTGTCCCTTTTTATTCTTTTAAGTTTTTTTTTCAATAATTATTAATATTATTATAAATATATTAGCATAAAATGATTGTTGATAATTAGTTTTTACCTGAAGGTAGGTTTTTATTTTTATTATTTTAACCGCATTTCCGCATTTCGGTTGAAAATGCATGTCACAAACATGTTAAAGATTACAATTACCATGATAAAATATTTACCATCATTTATAAATTACACCAAACGCCGTAAACTGTATTAGTGATGTTAAACACTTTAAAATAAATATAAATTGTTTGATATCGTGATAATTATCATTAAGCTTTCATTGTCTAACATCCATATTGCAGTAGATGTGCCATTGTTTTGTGCAATTGTGCTATGATGCATCCCTTTATGCGGCCATGCAACAAAGTGAAGATAGTCTATGAGTCCAAAGACTAAATAGTGTATACTAATCTCGAATTCTGGTTCAATGACTGATGTGACGGGTATCAGCTAGTAAAAGTGGTTTATATGCGTTACTTGAAATCCGCGCTGCCTACATGTTAAGATAACCGCAAAATTAAACGCTGGTTTAAGAACTGAATAGACAGACAACTGGCTTTACATGACTTCACGAGGATTTAAACCCCTCGGGTAAGACAGGTGAATGGGTATGGACAGTTATCAGGAGTCATCTAACTGGTAGGTAATGTCAGCTCAGCTTGACAGCTTACTTAACAAGCTTGCTCTCTTCGGTGGCTTGTATGTCACCGGACCACGTGACCACGTACTGTAGTAGCTCATTAAATCCCAGACATAGCGAAAAGAGCGTTTTTCTGAAGCTCGAAATTTAGTAAATGAGCTTCCAATCTGTGTATTTTGATAAAATTTCAAATTAATTTGTCAGAAGATGCAAATCACATTCATCCTAAACTGTTATTAATGGTTTACTGCCGGTACATCGTGTTTAACTACTTCCAGGAATGACGTCGGTGATGCCGAGTAAGGAAGTGACGTCGTTACATAAGCAAAGCTGGAAGTGACGTTGGTGTAAACGAGGCCGGAAGTGGCGTTTTCGTAGATGGTGTTTACTTACCTCACGTGGTCTGGAGAGTGTGGGTCTGTAAGTATCTGTCTTTTCAACATCTCAAGGCTAACGTGTCCACAGTGCTTCTAAATGAAATAAAATAAACGTCTTTAATGTCATGTTTTTTGTGGTCTCAAAAGTTAGAATTGCCCCAGATCAATAAAGTCTTTGTGATAAAAAGCCAAGAATTTAATGTTTATCATCATATGCATCTCTAGGTAGATCACAACTATTTAGGTCACATGGCGATAGTATCACATAAAATATGAAAATCAAATAAATATCTCACATCATGTCCTACAAAGGGCAATTGTACAAAAAAAAAAAAAAAAAAATGTGCAATACCAAAAATAAAATAACAACACTGTTATGCACCGAACTAATTCCCAAATAACTGGAGCAGATGTGACAGGAATACTGGTCCTAGGAATTGAAGTCGGGGTCCAATAGTACATGTATATGTAAGTACAAACTGGAGAAGCCGGAAGTATCGAGAGCAGTACTCGATTTTAAGGCAAATGTCATTTGTTGTCAGGAACCACAGTATAGAAAAAGTACTAATTACGTCATGAACCACAGTATAGAAAAAGTGTATAATTAGTACTTTTTCTATACTGTGGTTCCTGACAATGTGTAATCTAATGGGAAATGGACAATAGCATTCAGCGGATTGGCATTCCTGTCACAGCATTATATGGATTCTTACTTGTGCTGCTGCAACAAAAATAAGTTCCTCCAACGATCTATTTATTCCGGGGAGCTTTCCCTCTTTACCGTGGTCTGTGACCCATAAGNTAATGTACATATATATATAAGCGCATATACGCATATATACCCATATATACATACACACACATACCTGCAAATATGTATCCTTAAAAATGCTATTTGAGATAGAATACTTGTTTTAATTTGATCTTCAAAGTTTTAGTGCATTTTTACTTAAATCAATGTACCAAGTAAATAATATCTGTACTTACAAACTGCTTCAAGTTGCAATACCTTTTTCATAACTAAACCCCTTGCTCTATTCCAGTTTGCTTATCAATTTGTTCAGGGAATCGTACAGAGTTCTTAGTTCATTTTGGATGTCTTTTTCCTGGCTTCTGTATGCTGGAGCATCCTGTGCACGACAGTCTCTACGCAGGTTTACTGGTGGTGCGTTGTTTGGGCGGGTCCTTTGATTCCCTTGTGGGCGCATGCTTGGGTGCCTCCCATGATCCCATTTTAGGTGTTGGGCAGTTTGCGTATCATTTCGGGTGTTTGCACTGACATAGTATGGATGCCCAGTTTCGGCCTTAATGTTACACGCCAGTGCTGAATTTCCTTTTTGGTTTAAGTGTATTCCATCTCTATGGAACATATTTCTTGTGCAGACTATGTTGTCATTCCACATGTAGCACACATTGTCCAGGGTGTTACAATATTTACTAATACAATTGTTTGTTACCACCGCCTTTTTGTTAAAGTCCCAGTTGTCCCACCTGGGGAGTATACTTGAGATTATGATTTTGGTGTCCTTGTATTTCCTTCGTGTGGTGAGGACCAGTTCTTGCATATGGCACAGGATATCCTTCGGCTGTTCGTGGCTGTTTACGTTGTTGGAGCCCATGATAAACGTGATTGATTTTGGTTGGCCAAAGTCTCTCTCTTCTACCACCTGTTGCGCATCCTTTATTACTTTGCCATTCAGAGCAATGCATTTACTGTGGGTGCGTGGGAAAAGCTTTTGGCTTACAAGACCTTTTCCGATTGAATCTGAGATTACCAGATTTTCACACGGTTCCTTTACCTGTACTCTAGTGTGCCTCTGAGTACCCGTACCTGTTGTCGTAGGTATCTCTATGGTGGGGTTATCCTCACTTACTCCAGGCTCTATTGCATTTGCATTTGTATTCTTCTGCTCATGGGATGTTGTTTCCAGATGGTTGCAGTTGTTCACAATGGTAATTTGCTCGCTGTCATTTTCACCTCTATGTGTTGGTGTTACTGTGCCTTCAGTTTCACTAATTTGATCTGCAGCATTGTCACCTGTCTCATTGTTTCTACTCCTGACATCCGTTTGTGGTAGTGTGGTGTTAGTAGCCTTTGTTTCCATTATTGCTTTGTTTGCACTACCTGTGCTGGTTTGAGGCGGTGGGGTAAAGGTGTTAACAGCCATTGCTCTTACAGTAACTGTGTTGGTGCTGGCTGACACTGATCTGTAGGAAGGTTTTGCACACTGTGTTGAGCTATCAGTGATGTTTATCTCGCATTGAGTACTATTATCTGTGGCTGTTAGAGGATCACACTGAATTCCCATTTCAATGCCCTTGTTGTTTAGAGAGGACAGCTGGGTATGTAGATTGTCCACTGCTTCTGTCAGCTTAAGCATCTGAGAAGTTAATTGGGATAATTGCTCCTTGATTTCCTTTATGTCATTGTTACTAGATTTGGTTTCCTGCCTCTTGAGGTCTGATGTTTGTAGAAGAATTTGAGTGTACTGATTTTCAACTGTTTGTAATGTTTCCTGTACTTTGCTCATGTCTTTTTCTATTCTCTTCTCCTTCAAATTTGGGCCGGTCTTGGTTTTAAAACCCTTTGGTGTAGCTTGTGAGACTCTTTTTGGTTTTGCTACTCTCTTTGGCGTGGTTTGATCCCAATCTCCTGTAAGGTCTCCCTTGGTCTCTGTGTTGTTATTTTCTTCACTGTGTTTTACCCTGGTTTCATCCATGCCGGGTTGGACAGGCTTTGGTGCTGATGATAGTAAGACAATTTTCGGGTAGTCAAGAGCTAGCCACACCACGTATGCTGCTCCCTGTACATGAACTTTCTTTGACTTTGCTGTGTGATAAAAAGTTAGGGAGATGCTTCCAAGGTCAATCCCTTTTGGTGAGAAGTAGTGAAACTTAAGCTGGTGTCCAGTTCCAGAATTTACTTCGCAATCTACTGAAGGTTTGTGGTGCAGTCTTGAAGTCTCTAACATTCTTTTCACTACACTCACAGTGCTGACTCCCACTGTGGCACACTGAGCATTGTGTATGACAGCTACAATGTTGGGACCATAATATTGCTCACTGTAATCATAGTCATGTTTACTTGCTATTCCCAGTTCTAAGTCATATTTCTTTCTGTCATCTGGGTTAACTAGAGTATAGTAAGCTTCACTGATTGTCTGTAATATGTCCTTAGAGTTTGTTTCATTCAACTCACTAACCTTTGTGATGAAAGCATCCTTTATCTCTTCAGTCTTACATCCTTTGCTTACTCCAAGCACTGAGTAGTAATCCTCCATTTTGTTTCTTTATGCAGATTTCCTTGACTGAGCTTGCTAATTCCACTTTTTCCCACTCATAACTGTTTTCTATCTGTTTTCTATTCTTTCTTGGTCACTTTAGATTTCTGTTATTGATGCTCTTTCCAAGATTTATACATAAACACCGGTGATTAAATGAATCTTCTTCAGAGAGCTTCATAAGCCTGTCTCACACAAGCGGCCATCTTGCAAATCCATATTATTGTACCAATATGGCTGCCATATCCTGGTTAGGTCATTGTCCCATAATGGGAAAAAAAAAACTACCTTGAAATCCAAACTGAAACTCATTTCGTCATATCAACATTGTTTCCAACACTTGGTTTTTGTGTGAGGAAATGTTGAAGAAGGGGTTTTGCATAAGCGTGTGCTGCAGTGAATTTATGATTTTGTCTCCCGTAAATATCCAACAACAAAACTCTTGTTAAGTGGAGTTGGTTGCAGAGGCCATGCTGCTCAGCTGCATGGTAAGTCCAAAGAGCTCAGCAGCAGCAGGGGTTTTACACTGTTTTACATGAATATGTAGGCATTAATACAAATGAGGAAAATAGTTTTCTGTTTGTACTAGTGGTGCTACAGCTGTATGGAAATTGTCGTTCAGCATGATATCTTGTAAAACATTTTGTCTAAAACACAATTCATACAGTGGTTTGCAAGAGATTTTTACATTGTAGACTGGGCCTGCTAAGCCAGGATCTGCCTGTGTGTGTGTGTGCAAAGGGTAGAAGATTATATTACCCTGGATTTTGCTTGGTTCTTGGAGCCCACATGGTGGTCTCCATTCAGGCCCCTTCATTTGTTCACCATTTAATAAATAATGGAAACACTGGAGGATCAGACATTTAAGACAGCTCATAGTGATACCCCCCCCCCCCCCACTGCTTTACACATTACAATGCATATTTATAGAAGGTACAAAGTGTACTGAAAGAAAAGCTTCTAGAGTTTGCCAAGTGTGAAATATATGATTTGCCTTTTTTAAAATCCAATTAGTGGATTTAAACATGAACAAGCCATTGAAAAGCTTGTTCATGTTTTAACATGTTTGCACCATGCCCTTGCGTGATAACATTAACCCTTCAAGAGGAAAAAAAAATTAAAATGTGAAACCTAACAAGTAACATTACAATGAAGAAACAAACAACATTTCCCTAAGCTTGACTACCATGCCCTTTTTCTGCCCATTAACCCGTGATGAAAAATAAATAAATTGATTGATTGAGTAGAAATCAATTTATGGCAAATAAAATCCCCAAGAACTGTTACTCTAATCTCTAAGCACATGATGCTTGATATAATGGAAGTGACCCAATTTCCTTGTTATCCAGGCTGCAAAACAAGTGCTATTGAGTTGCAAA